AAAAAAAAAAAAAAAGAGTGTATGTCACAAATAATGTAAAATTCACTGACATTCATTGTATTCATTAGTGTTAAGTAATTATCACTGCTTTTAATATTTTTCATCAAATAGAGAAAATATGAAGCATTAAAATATGAAGCATTAAAATATGAAGCAAAAATATGAAGCATTAAAATATAAAAATCAAATATTTTTCATCAAATAGTACTTGGGGGCTGGAGAGATGGCTCAGTGGTTAAAAGTGCCTGCTGCCAGGGTTCAGTTTCCAACACCCATGGTGGGTGGCTTACAACCACATAGAACTCTAGCTCTACACCCTTTTCTGGTTCCCTCCACACCCTCCAGTGTCCACAAACACATCCAGACCCAGACCCAGACCCAGACACCACACACACACACACACACACACACACACCTAAAAAGAAATAGAAGAAATTTTGTCCTCATTAAGCATTAATTAAAAAAAAAATTAAGTTAGCATACAAAGTAATGCCCCCAAGTACAGAGTCTCTATTTGATGAGAAATATTAAAAGCAGTGACAATTACTTAACACTAATGAATACAATGAATTCCTAGGTATGGAAACCTGAAACCTGATTTAGAATGTACAGTGGCCTTGATTGCTAGAGTTTACCTAATTTTAAAGTTTGGTTTTGTGTTCACTTTTTTTTTATATATAGCATTATCACACATACTTTTCCCCTCAGGTGTCCTCTCTCTTTTTATTATATTTTTAATATTTATTTATTTTCCTTATGGGTACAAGTGGCTTGCCTACATGTATGGCTGTGCATCACATGTATGGTGGTGCCCACAGAAGTCCAAAGAGGGCACTGGATCCTCCGGAACGTAAGTTAAGGATGATTGTAAGCTGTAAGGGCTCTTAACTACTGAGCCCATCTCTCCAGTCCCTAATATAGTATTTTCAATGGTCATCTATATTTAGCACTTACTAGAACAAACTGTGTTGAATGTCATGCCCTGGTCATATTCTATTGTGTATATACATCACATTTTGTCTATTCATTCATTCATCTATTGAAGAATAATGGGCTGTTGTCCTACTTTTCACTATTGTGGGAATGCTGTTAACAGTGACATGTAAGTGTCTAGCTATTCTCATTTCTTTTTTGTATTTATGTAGATATGGAATTAGAAGAGAGTCATTATGATCATTCTCAGTTTAATTATTTCTCTGCCAATCTGTTGCACATAGCAGCTAACAACTTTACAGCTGTGCTACCAATTTCTTTACATCCTGGAAGTCACTTATTCTCCATTACATTGTTATCATCATCATTAATATTGGTAATATTATTATCGGTTTTCTGAGACAAGGTCTCACTCTGTAGCTCAGACAGCCTCAAATACATGCCAATATTCCTGCCCTAGCCTCTTGTGTGCTACCATGCCTGATCTATCATCATTTTAATAATAACCATCCTAGTGTCCATAAGAAGGGATACCTCTTTGTGGTTTGGATTTGCATTCCCCTAGTAACTGATGCTGCTGCTCACCTTCTCATATACTTATTGACCATTTATGTATCTTCTTTGGATAAACGTTTACTCTGGTACTCCTGCACAACACACTCTCATGTTTTTGAACCCACTGCACATGCCAGGCAAGTGGTCTATTACTGAGTGAAACTCCCAGTCTCTCGTTGACCTTTTTTTGGAGGATTAGGGGGAGGTGGTTTCAAGACAGGGTTTCTCTGTAGCCCTGGCTGTCCTGGAACTCACTCTGTAGACCAGGCTAGAGAGATCCACCCGCTTCTGCCTCCTGAGTGCTGGGGTCAAAGGCCTGCACCACTGCTGCCTGGCTTTTGTTGACCTTTTGAAATTCAGTTTTCCTTCGACTGTTGGTGACAGGAACTCTTCAAACACTTGGATGTGTTCCAGAGCTCATCACTGTGTACTCAGAGGATGCTTGCCCTGATCTACACGTTATCTCTTAGTCTCTGCGTGGTACCCTGTGGCACAAGAGACATGTTTTTAAGTCTTTTTTCCCCTGTGCTTTTGTTATGAAATTTAAGAAATCACTGCCAAATCTAGCAGCATGCAGATTTTTATTTATATTTTCTTCTAGAAGTTGGATTGTCTTGGCTCAGCTTTAGGTTTTTGATGTTTTTAGTTAATCCCTACATAAGATATAAAGTAAAGGTTTAACTTCATCTTTTCAAATTCGGGCATCCAGGTATGCAACAGCATTTAATGAAAAGGCTCTCTTGTAAATACTGGGGACAACAGGCACCAATTAAAAAAAAAACCCAAAACTCGATGCTAGCTGGGGCATTGTGGCGCATGCCTTTAAACCTAGTACTCAGCAGGCAGAAACAGGCCGTCCTCTGTGAGTTCTAGGCCAGCCAAGGGCTACATAGTGAAACCTTGTGTCAACAACAACAACAACAACAACCCCCCCACAAAACCCACCAAACGGAAAAACAAAGCCACACTTGATATGTATTTAGATTTTTATAAGACAAAAGACAGTTCTAATGAGAGAAAGAAGAAAATACCCATTAGACAAAACCCCATACCTTGGGTAAAGCATGGTGCTGACTGCTGTGAGGACACACATTCAAGGTAAAGTCTGTATTTTTCGGGAGCCAATCAGTGTTTGGCAAGTAAGTTATCACCTAGGTCAGTTTAGAGCACGAAGCCTGGCTGAAGAAGCACTTCGGACAGCACACACCAGAAGAAGCTGAGGAAGGCCACTATCGCCACCAGCCTTGACAGGAGCTTTCTTTTTGGCATTAGTATTAATCTAGCCACATAAATAACCTTTTTTTATTTTTTATTTTATTTTTTTTAAAGATTTATTTATTATGTATACAGCATGTATGACTGCAGGCCAGAAGAGGGCACCAGATCTCATTACAGATGGTTCTGAATCATCATGTGGTTGCTGGGAATTGAACTCAGAACCTCTGGAAGGACAGTCAGTGCTCTCAACCTCAGCCATCTTTCCAGCCCCCGCCACATAAATAACTTTTAAAAGAAAAAAATTAAATAGGAGTCAGGTGGTGGTGGCGCATGCCTTTAATCCCAGCACTTGGGAAACAGAGGCAGGCAGATCTCTGTGAGTTCAAGGCCAGCCTGGTCTACAAAGCAAGTTTCAGGACAGCCAGGGCTGTTACACAGAGAAACCCTGTCTCAAAAAAAAGAAAGAAAGAAACTGTATAGGTAGCCTCTTTTTTAGCATGTGCCAAATGCCTTCTGCTTTTCTAATAATAAGTTTTCATAATAATCTCCTCAAATCTATAAAACATACAACTAGTATAATGAATCTGTTTCCAGTGTTTATAAAGAGCAACAGGAAACATGACAACTCTTCCTGCCTTTCATAATTAACAGACTTAACATATGGCATTTCCTTTAGCATTCCTTCAAAGCAAACATAATTGCTGGCTGAGGATGTAGTTTAGTGGAAGAGCATTTGCTTTTAGCAGTGCCAGGCTCAGGGTTTGATCTGCACAACCACCAGGGGAAAAGGCCTAATACATAACTAAACTGTCTCTTCCACAGCTGGATAGAAGGGTTAGTGGTTAAGAGCATGTACGTCTCTCCCAGAGAATCTGGGTTCAATTCCCAGAACCTACACAGTGGCTCACAACCCAGTTCTGGGGCTCTGATGCTCTCTTTTAAACTTTGCAGGTACCAGGTACACAAGTGATATACATCGTACATGCAGGAAAAATACTCATACACAAAAACATATACCCCCAGAACCAAAAAACTTGCTTCTTCTAAGTCATGGTACCAATTACTGCTTTAATTAATTAGATTTCAATTTTAATTTAATTTTTTCTTTTCTTTTTTTTTTTTTTGAGACAGGGTTTCTCTGTATAGCCCTGGCTGTCCTAGAACTCACTCTATAGACCAGGCTGGCCTCAAACTCAGAGATCCACCTGCCTGTGCCTCCCAAGTGCTGGGATTAAAAGCAGAAATAAAAATTTTTAAACTGTGTGTGCTCATGTATGCATACTCATGCGTACATGCTTGTGTGTCTGTGCATTTGGATGTCATGGCACAGGTGTGGAGGTCAGGGACAATGTGTGGGAATTGGTTCTCTCCTTCTACCATACAGGTTCCAGGGACTAAACTCAAGATGTTAGGCTGGGCAGCAGACACCTTTACCCGGTGAACCACTGGCTCCTTGAGGTAAGATCTGTATATGATCTTTTCTATGTGCTTTTATTTCCTAAGAAACTTTGAGGAAAAGAAAACTTTAGGGGAATATAAAATTAATGAACTAAAGAGTTAAATGATGTATGCCTTAAGAGGAAGTTTAAGGAAAACACCAAGAGAATGATTAGGACAAATGAAAACGGGATCATTACATAACTCCATAGTCTGAAATCAGCACTGCAAGGAAGCTTAGCTTACACAGAGAAATGCTGGACCTTTTCACTAACAATGCTGAAAGTGAGGTAAATTCTCTAAGCACAAACACTGTGTTCATTTAATCTATCAGTGAAATACATGACTACTTTTCTTTTTTCTTTTTTTGTTTCTGCAGTCTAGTCTGACAGGGAACTTGCAGTCCTGCCTACGTCTCCAAAGTACCAAGATTAGAGGCATGGGCCACCACGTGCAGCTCTGTAACTACTTAAGGAGCTTTGTGCCTTGGAAGTCTGCAGCAGGTGGCTTCACCAATTTTTCACTGCCTAGGCAAGGGTAGGTCACATTCTGAAAGGTATGACACAGTGTCAAGATGCCAAGATTAGTTTTAGGTAAATATGAAAATGCAGATCTTACCCACATGCAGGCCTCAATTCTAACTTTTGAGATGATACTCCACAAAGAAACGGCTCCTTCGATGCCTTCTTCATGTGGACAGATAATCTGGTCAGGATAGGGTGGCTCAGGGAAATTAACCGAATTGCATTCATAAGCAGCTAATGTAACTGAAGCTATGTGTGGGCCCTAGAAAACAAAATGTAAGAAACCCTTGGATGAGAAATACTAATGAAAAAGGAAATTTGATGCATGTTATTTCAACATCATGTTAATTACTATGTAATACAAGGAAAATACTGCTTTCAGGAAACAAGACTCTGCGTAAACACACATTCTAAGATGTAGTTAGCAACTGGATAAAACAATTTTCCCCAACAGAGTTCTAGGCAGCCTATCTAATTTTGGGCTTGATTTATATATTATTTACCCAGAATTACTTGTCAAATGTTATCCCTGTAATAAAACTTTTCTTTTAGGTACAGTTTGAGAACATTACCTACCCTTTCTAGTGAGTTCCTAAAAAAAAGATGAAACTGTGTAACCACTTATGAGTTTTACTTTTTGAAGTTTTTTCCTAAAGCAACTTTTTTGATATTTTGCTCTTTTATTTTGAAATAGTACAAATTATTAAACATAAATTAAGCTATATTAATATTTAGAATGCAATGAAGTCTTATTTATATACAACGATTCCTAATTGTACATGATGAGTCATCTGCATGAAAATCATCTACAGAGGCTTGGAGATCAGTTGAGGGTGGGTACCAACCGCTCTTGCAGAGGACCTGACTTCAGTTCTTAGAACCCACTTTGGATTGTTTACAAATGCCTTCTAACTCCAGCTACAGGGGAGCTGAGGCCCTCTCCAGTCTTCCGTGGATACTTGCATGCATACGTGCACGCACACAATATGTGCACGCACACGAGCACACACATGTATATGCACACAATTACAAACAAAATAAGTTAGAAAATCAACTGTAGGATTGGTAAAAAATAGGGGCTGATGAGATAGCTCAGTGAATATGCTTACTGTGCAGACCCAACTACATGAGTTCAATTTCCAGAACTGACATAAAAGAGTTAAGAAGAGAATTGGCTCCGCGTTGTCCTCTGACCTCCCTCCCCCCACTAATAATAAATAAAATAAATACAAGAATTGGCAAAACTGTAAATTTCCAAGTTTCCTGAGCATAGATTGGTGGTTGTCTGCTAGTATATAATATGTAATAGCCATTATCTGTTAAAAGAAAAATACTTTTGTAGAACAGGTTTGTACACACATGAAATTCTGTTACTGACCATACTGTGTGAATATTTCTGAATGTGAAGGTTTTTAGCGAAGATTTTTCCACTGACTTCATAAATGAGTCAGACCTAAAAAAAAAGTGGTCATTGTGCATCAAAGCCTTTTAAGGTCAGAGAATAAATGAATTTGTGATTTAAAAAGCCAGCTATATAAGATGCAGTGATGGGGGCTGGAGAGATGGCTCAGAGGTTAAGAGCACTGGCTGCTCTTCCAGAGGTCCTGAGTTCAATTCCCAGCAACCACATGGTGGCTCACAACCATCTGCAATGAGATCTGGTGCCCTCTTCTGGCATGCAGGCATACATGCAGGCAGAACACTGTATACATACTAATAAAAAAATCTTTAAAAAAAAAATGTAGTGATGAAATTGAAGTATCTCACGGGATGACAGATGGTTAAGAGGGTAAAGGCATTTGTCATCAGGCCTGATGACTTGAGTCCCAGAAACTACATGATAGATGGAAAGAAGTGACATCACTAGTTGTCCTGACACATCCAGTGCACACTGATACCTGTGCTTGGAAACAAATTCAAGTTTTTAAAAAGAAAATGAAATAGTATAAAAGTCCTGTTTATTACAAAGATAGAAAATTATTTATTTAAGAATTATTTTTATTTTATGTACATGAGTGTTTTGCCTGCATGCAGCTGTACCTACTTGGTACATGAGGAGGCCCAAAGAAGGAGATGGACGCCCTGGGCCTGAGGTGAAGGATGGTCACGAGGCACCATGAGGGTGCTGGGAAACACATCTGAGTCCTCTGCAAACAGAGCAAGCGCTGCCAACTGCTAGGCCACTAAGCCACTTCTCCAGCCCCAACGACTTCTTCTTATTACTGTTAATATTCGTACTTGTGTGTGGGTATCAGCACAGGAGTGCAGGTGCCCAGGGAGGCCGGAGGATGGGAGTGCCCTGGAGCTGCATGCAGTTGCAGACCACTGTGTGCCTGCCACCTGCTGTGGACCTAGGAGCCCGACTCTGCAGAACAGCCAGCACTCTCAACTTCACCTCTCCCCAACCGCCCTCTCCATGTCTGTTTACTTACTTGCTAGTTTTTCAGACATTTGTTTTTAAGAAAGATGTTTAAACATCTATTTGACCTTTTTACTTTTTAGTCTTTGCTTCTTTTTTTCCTTGGATTTTAATTCTTGGGAATTCTTATATAGCAATATTCAAAATTTAAAGTATTGATGGTTTAAAAAGAATATATTATTTGTTTGTTTGTTTGTTTGTTTTGTTTTGTTTTTTGAAGACAGTATCTTATTATGTAGCCTTGGCTGTCTAGGAACTCATTAGGTAGACCAGGCTGGCCTTAAACTCACAGACATTCACTTGCCTCTGCCTTCCAGGTGCTAGGATTAAAGGCGTGCACCGTCAACCCTGGCTAAAAAAAGAGTATTTTTATTTTGCTCCTTTCTTTTAAAAATTTATTTATTCTTTGGCAATTTCAGATATGAATACAATATTTAGGTTATATCAATACCCCAAAAGTCCTTTCAGGTACCCTCAATCAGGCTTTAAAAATAATCATGTTTAACCATGACAACTAAAACTTGTTTTTTTAAAAATATTATATGTAGAAAATAGATTTCACAGTTGGGAAAAAAATTATTTTCTGATTCTACCAAAAAGAAAACAAATATAAAAAAAAATCTTGAATTACAAGTTTAGATAGTCTTAATAACTCCAGAATAACAATACAATGACATCTAGCAAATCCAGTATACAAACAATAACTACAATCAGGTATAGTGGGTGGGAAGCAGAGGCGGGCAGATCTCTGAGTTTGCACCCGGAGTTTTAGGCCAGCCCAGAATATATAGCGAGATCTAGTTTCAGAAACAAAAACCACACTTTTTTCTTTCTTCCTTTTTTTGTTTTTTCAAGACAGGATTTCTCTGGGCAGTCCTGGCTGTTCTGGAACTTGCTCTGTAGACCAGGCTGGCCTCGAACTCAGATATCTGACAGCCTCTGCCTCTCAAGTGCAAGTGCTGGGATTAAAGGCGTGTGTCACCACTGCCTGGCCAAAAAACAACGCTCTTAACATGAGAAAACAGAGATATATGATGGCAGTATGGAAAGGAAGAAAATGCAAGAGTTGACTGTCCTTTTTCCGTTGGCTACAAATCCAGCTGGACTCTTTGAAAAAAGGAGATGGGTGTGCTAGTGTAAATCTGAAAATAAGGTAACAATGGTTGGGAAGTGGTCCAGCTGGTCGGTGGAACCTTGCCTGGCAAGCCTAAATTCCTTTGAATTCCAATCCCTGGGGTGTCTATGTGGGTGTGACAGACTTCTGTGATATAATTCCAAAATATAGATTAAAATACAAATTAAATATATTATTTTATAAAATAAACTTTTTGATATAGTTTTAATTTTAGTGATTCTAAAAGAGTGAATTCTCACCAATTTCATAATTTTCCTTAGGATGACTGTTCCAGCCTAGGGTGTGGCAAAGTTGCCCGAGGCCCGCCTAGCATGCCCAAGGCCCAAGCTCCATCTTCAGAGCACAGGGTGGGGTGGGGGTGGGGGTGGGGTGACTCTCATGACTGCAACCCAGCACTCAGAGGTTTGTTTCCCCAGCTACAAGCAAGATCTGCAACAACCTAGCCAGGCACAGTCTACATATGGAGTTTCAGACCAGCTAGGGTCATACAGTGAGAGCCTTTTTGTTCATTCATTCAAGTGGTACATACTTCCCATAGCCCACCATTAAGTCATGATTACTCAGTTTGAAGGCAGATGTGGTGGCTTCCAGACAAAATGAAAGCTAACAGGCTTGGCTAACAACTCAATTCTACCCTTTGTTCCTTTTCACAAGTCTATTTGTAGCCCCCACCTTGACATTTTAGGTTGGACTGTATTTACTGATAGAAAACCTTATAGTTCTTTTCAGCTTTATAGCTGAATTGTTCCTAATGTAAGGAACTGAAGTTTACCGCAAACAAACAAGAACAACTGTGTTTGGAATCCAGTCATTTAGGAAATCACATACATTCAAGTCACTCATGCTCTCTTTCTAGTGCTGGGATTGAATCCGTGGCCTCACACGAGACGCAGGTGCTCTGGACCTCATCTATCTAGAACCCCTAGAAGGCTAAACCATCTTTTAAGCATAATTTCTAAAATGTGCAGGCCTCGAGGGAGAGGAAACTGCAGTTGGTATGTAAAATAAATGAAAAAAAAATGTTATTTAAATAAAATAAAGGAAAAACAAGTGCAGGTCTCACCAATGTATTATATGAAAGTTGTACTTTAGCTGTATCAAAGAAAGAAGTGAGCCAGGCTAGAAATTGAAGCACAGAAAAGGATTAATGGCTATTGCCAGGATAAACCAAACAGGTTAACAGAGAGTCCCCACACTCAAGGGTGGAGAAGGAAAGCAGAGGGGAGAAACCGCTCAGTGGCCTGGGGGATAAAACTCATCAGTATAATACACATCTGGGAGATAATGGGCTTCAGAAAAACACTAAAAGAAATAGTGGCCAAACATTTTACAGATTTTATGAAAAAAAAAACCAAAAACAACCTGTGAAAGCAAAGATCTAGGGAAAAAACAAACGTTAGTGAGAATCCATGAGAAAACAAAACAAACCGCTGGAAAGAAAAGCATTATAGTCAGAGTGGCAAGTCTCAACCACAGGAAAAACCTTCACGATCAAGAGGGACCAAAAACAACACCATCCAGAGAGAAGACAGGGTCAGACCAACAATCAAAATAACGGGGACAAAAGACAAGAGAATTTACTTTTGTAAAATGCTAAAAGAATGAAGGAAAATAGATGTAAAAATACACTTCAAAAATAATATGAAATTTGAAGACCATGGGCAATACAGATTTTCCTCTTTATTTGACTCTTTCAGGAGATAAGCAG